TTTTCAAAGTCAACTGCTAAATTTCAGATTCTAATTTCTTCAAAGGTTCTGTGAATTTAGAATTTATGAATTATTGCATGTTCCAAAGAGCGAAGTGTACTGTAGTCCCTCGAATTTTTTCTTGATGGAAAAACCATGATGAACCATGCGTTTTATAACATCAAAGATGCTATTTTCAAGGATGTATTGGATTTGAAAGTTAGTTTCTTCTTTCGTTCTGTTACCAAAAATATTGATTTTCTGCGAAACAGATTGAAAAATGTGTCCTCTCCCACTCTCACAGCCTGCTTGCTTTGAAACGGTAAAAACCACTTAGCGAGTTATTCTTTTCTCTGTTAAGTTCCTATGGTCTGATAAGTTTTGAACAAATAACATGCATCGATCGAGCTCATGCATTATAATTGCTAGAGAGAATGACTGATGTTCTTTCGAAAAAAATTCCTTTACAAATTTTTGTGTTAAAAAGTCAAAAACCGGATATGAAAATATTCGACAAAGCTGATTTCGATCGTGATTATGACGTTTTATACTTCGGCATGTTTTGTTGTTAAAATTCGATTTATTTACTGTGATAGTTTTGAGAATTACAGATAATTGGTATTTGACTTTTCTACTTTTACAGGTTCGTCCTGTGAAAATATGTTTCGTACGAAATTGAAAGTTCGGTAGAATTACAAGTCGACAACATACTCTAATAGCATTTAACATTTGTACAAATACTTTTGCACCGCATGTTAAATAAACGATCTCGAAGTTATTTTTCGGCTGTTCATTCTGACCAGAATTTCGTTGATTGTTTGTAACATAAAAGAATCTATCGATAACAGCTTTCAAAGTGAATTATTGAAATAAAGCAACTCAGTGATCCTGATTTTGTTTCTAACAAACGCGACTAAGAGAAAAGAATTTCAAATGTTTCGTATTCTATTTATCAATCCTCCAATGAATTTTCATTGTGCAGCAATACAAATGTTCTGTAATAGAAAATTCTTTTGCACTTGTAAGCGTAAATTAATAACAAAAAGATGCCATTGAGCGAAAGCCTTTCTGTTGCAAGGCTTTTTTTATTATTATGATGAAATTCCTAAGGTTTGAATAATAACTTCGAGAGGCAATTATTTAGTTTCCCTGTATGCAGCAGTGAATTAAATCTTAGGCTCCGACCATGGATATGACGAGTTCGCTACCTTTTCTATCGTTTTCATCAGAGAAATATCGGAAATCATTAGTTCAAGAGTGTTTTATTTTTTCAAATTATTTTAGTGATAAAATTATTCTTGAACAGTCGTTGTTTTATTATTGTTTCCCATCGAAAACTGAATGGAAGCATAATATTTTATTAAATTTACATATCTGTTTGGTCTATTAGAGTAGGCATCATGACAAGTATCTTTTTAGTTAAAAACATTTTTCTTGAAATTGACGAAAACATTACATAATTAACCTATTTAACTATGATACTCTCTGGAAAAAAACGAAACCATTTCTATATTGAATTAACTTAGAAACCTACATCGAACAACGTCATCCGTATGTCGCTTGAGCTCACTTGTTCGAAACTTCATCAACTATTCCTATGCATTTCCACCACAATCGAATGAGTTAGAAAACAATTTATCAAACTTATTTGAAGAACTTGCAATCGAAATAGACAGTGCACAATTTTTGATCGGTTATCATTGATTAAAAATATTTTATTTTAAGAAGATCGTATAAACTAACATTTTCACACGGACGATGGATCTTAGTTGGCAGCGCTCGGTATATTGGCATAGAACGCGGCCTTCTTATTTTAAATTCGATATAACAAGACCATCATGATCAACATTAGATGATGTATAAGATAAAAAATCGTTAAGCAGTCCTTCATTAGAAGCCTGATAAAAAAAAAGATTGAACTTTTGAGAGCCAACTGATTTCCCAATTTTAGCAATCATCATGTAGGTGCTATTGAAAACAGGAAGGCAACATATACTGGATCATTGCATTAACTCTTGCATTAACTTCACTCAAAGTAATACGATACATATAAAAGAACCACCGTCAATTGAATTATTCACTTTTGAAACCTTAGATTTTAGCCACGTGTAAACAAATGTGTTTTTATACTATTCTCATTATTTCTTTTTATTTTCTCAAGCAGTTTATTTTAACCATAATGCAATAACACTAGATACATTTTTCTGTAACTACAGTGATTGAGTCATGCAAAGCATTCTACAAAATATCTTATATTATTGAATAACAGAAGATACTCTAATTATTACCTATATATTCAAAGTAATTATATCTTAATGCTACTAAAATATTTGAAGCACATTAAAACGAACGAATTCTTTCTAGTCAGAATTATTTGTTACACGAAAAAAATAATGAATACTTCAAGAAAACTAATTCTAGGGCTTGACAATTCATCATCCGTTGTTATGAAAAAAAAACCTTTCTCTATTATTCGAAAGTAAAAATAGTTATTCGATCTTTTTTTTATTGTTGTTGCTATAATGACATTAACCTGTGAAAAATACCTGCATTATTTCATCATGATGATGTTGGATGAAAATTGAATTCAAAAACAAACTCTTGCTCGTATCATGAATCATTAATTGCAAAGTTTCTTTTAGAACAAGCTCGATTGGTTATTACCGATGTAGACAGCTTTTTCCGAGCATCGATTTAAATCACCAAACGTTAGGCTTCGAATAACAAACGAGAGAGCCTGCGTGAGTATATAAATGAGCATATTTCCATGCGAATATCAGTTGAAAAGAAAAACATAATATTGAATTTCATTTTTTAGAAACTTGTCTGTAAACACCACAACCATCTTCAAATAAAATATATGGTATGTAATTATTAATAATCAATGAATTCAAAGATTGTTTTAGCATATTCTACCTTATGGTAAGTACACTATTTTCTCTACTGTGGATTAGCAGATAATTTGACAAGAATAGAAATCATCAGGGTTTATTTTGTTTATGAAGTTACTGTGATACATGTAAGAAAGATAATCAAACAAAAAATTGTTAAGCACGCACTCAGCATTTCGATTGTATACGATGAGAAGGTGCCAACATTTCACTATTCACGTTCAAGATGTTCGTACATGATCATAATGATGAATTGTATAAAATACTGAAATTAAGCCGTCTGATACGCCATTTTATACGTACTCCATAATCGTTAACTTATGGGTGGCCTACTGGAGTATTTACCGACAATAGAGCTTATGCTTACTGTACTAGAACCTAGCTCATTCAGAATTTATAATATGAAAATGAACTAGCTAGATAATCACACCCATTCCGTATTTGAATATGCGATGTGATGAAGTTAGAAAATATTATTAATTTACAAAAAAATCAGAGTATTAGAACGTTGCCAATAAAAATGTTAAACAAAAATATGAAAATATTCATTTTCAACATAATGTTACAAGGCTATTGACTCTTATTTTTATTTTTTCTGAGTGGCAAAATAGCCAATAAAAATGAATCGTCTCACTAAGAAGTATTCTTTTTCTTGTATTAATTTATGGGCTGTTTTCACTGGGTTTCCATTTATGTTGACACACTCTGATAAGAAAAACATCATTATAGTGGTTACTATTGCTTTATACTGAGGAGCGAAATAGTATTCAAATACTTGCAAACGATTAAAGTATCCTACAGACAACGTCTGAGGGATATTTTCGAATTTATAAAACATCCATGTTATTAACTGATCGATATAAGAGCAGTAGAGCGCTGTTTATCTTCTACGTTATATTTTTACTTAGTTTATCCATCGATATGTCAAGTGAAGGGCCGCAGTTAACCAGTACGGCTCTTCATAAGACGAAATATGGTATTGATTGTGAAAGTTATGTCCGAAATTTCAGGTAGAAATTGCGAGATAATTGCATTGATATATTGTTCGAGATTCCATTTCAATGAAATTAATAATCATTGAAGCGACTAATGTAGATTTTATTAGGAATGCCTCTCGCTACTATTCGGTTATTATTTAAATCAGATATTGAAATGAGATAAATTGAACATTTAGTAGACTTGATATGAGTAAATTATGTTCTATCATCCTATTAACGGATGAGGCAATAGTGTTCCATTAATTTTGTTTTTGATATTTCACTACAATGAAGGCTTTGATTTGATATTAAAATAATTGGTAGAGCATACAAGGGAATGAACAGACGACAATTTTATTTAAAAAGATCATTGTTCAAATTTGACGTTCCAACGCGAAAACAAACTTTTGTCTGAATATCTGACAGATAAAATGTGTCTTATTCCAAACAATATCATTTGGCAATACACTCAATAATCTTTCTTTTTCATATAAAACATATAGCATCTGGTAGTCTCTCACTCAGAATAGAGTTTATTTTTCGACTACTATCGCCAATAATGAAAATTCTGTGGCCTAGATGATATCTCAAAAGTGTTCGTTCGACTGTTATAAAACATGTAGAAAAGTTCTTTTTTTTCTACAGCAATAGCATTCTATCCTTACATATTAAAATATAGATTAGACGAATAAAAAGATAAACTGTCTAATTATAGAAAGTGTTTCTAAAGTCAAACAATTTGCTCATTAAAACTAAAAAAAAGTCAAGTCTCTACGACATTTCATCTCAGAGTTATATCAAAAACAAAATTCATGCCAAAAGTTTTGCCCAAGCCGTTAGTTTGAATTAATTTTTTTCTGGACTAGGGACTGGATCGAATTTAGTACAAATATATACCTTACTTTCAGTAGAGTAAGGAAACATTTATGACCAATATAAAAAATATAAATTTATTTCACATTATGCGCAAAACAAGTTGATTCATTTTTTTGTTTAATTAATAAAATTCCAGGAGAATTTCTACGCAACATTTGTGAAAAAAATTACATTAATGCACATGATTCCATAATTTGATTCTTATTTTACGTCGTCAGATATGAGAAGGCAAAAACAATATAAATTCATTTATTTTAATGTAAATTAGTTAGTTTTTATGAATGTACATAGCCACAGTGGTTATGTGGATGCAGCTAACACAACGACAAATGTAAATACTCAGTTGCTTTCTCTTCCCAATTTGAGTTATAAGTAGTTAGAATAAAAGGTCTACTCTTGTAACGATTGTTTTGATTAATAGGGTACTCGACAATACCTATTGTGGTTTCTAATTATTGCCAGTTGGGATCTTGTTAATGCATTTCCGACCACTGAGAGTATGTTTTACATTACACGACCTGCTTTTTCAAAAAAATGTTCACACTAAATAATAGAAATTTCACCGATAAAAAACTCGTTTGAGGAACTTCGAGAACGTTACCGGCGTGACGCAAAGAATACGATCACTTGCGATGCTTCTTGCACATGTCAATGCAGTTCAACCGGAGCGCCACAAACAAGTGAAGTAACATCAGTTGGCACAACATCATCAACCACATCAACAATAAGTTCTACAACAACAACATTAACAACATCGACATCGACACCAACAACAAGTACTTCGACGACTAGTAC